GGTCGAGATAGTCCCAGTGCAATAGCAACGCCAGGTGCCGTGACCTGGAGCAAGAAGAACTTGCCCTTTATTGTGCCGGACTACTCGCCCAGCCAATCACCTATGCTAAGCCCTAATCTTGAAGCTGCACCAGAAGCTAAATTTTTTGAAACAGTCCTGAGGGCAACATCTCCTACTGGTATGAGCCCCAACTCGAGACGTACAAGGGGTACTTTCGCCCCAGACCATGTGTCACCTCCAAAACGACGTGCAACCCGTGGGCCAGATCCAGACTTTGAGGACTCGGATGTCCAATTTTCGAAGCCTGCTCCCGCACCACCAGTTGACGATGATAGCGGGGATGATTCGGATGACGGGCTCTTTGCCATCCCTCTTGCCAATCGAAACAAGGGCAAGGGTGCCACTGCGAATGGTGATGCAAACGGTCACAGCAAGCGTCCTAGTCTGACGGTTAATACGGCGCGCTCCAGGAAGGGCCTCTCAGTTGCCTTTACATCGCCCAAGTCATATGGCAGTAGCGTGACTCCTGACAGTAACGAAGATTCCCGACAAAAGCCGACTACTCCCCGTTCCGAAACGTGGGAATCGGAAGACAAGGACAAAGACAGTAAATTGGGCCGGCGAAAGTCGTTCATCGAGAAGGATGTGTGGGCTAATCGCCCTCCAACGGACGCCCTTATCAATAACCTTGACGACTTCTTCCCCAACCTGGATCTTGATCAACCTGTTCTTGATGAACCTGGTGAGGGTGGACTGCCACCATCTCCAATTGCTGAGGGCACAGAAACCACATCTGATCAAGGGCCATCCCAGCCGGCAGTGTCGAGCCATACTCAGCAAGCACCGCCTGCAGCAATTCCGCCATCCCGGCAACCATCTCTATACAATGAAAACGATACTCTTGGCTCCGATGAGTCGACCCTCAAAGCCCTCGATCAACAGCGGCCCACTTCTGTGGCTGCAAGGAGTATTCGGCGCTCAGGCGGTCTCGGTCGGATGAAGTCCATTCGAGAAGTCGCCCGAGGCGCTCACGAGGCCAACAAGCGAACCAACTCAACTAACCAAGGACCGTCGTCAGGCAACATTATGCGCCGGAAGAGCACGAAGATGTTCAACGCCAACATTGTACAAATCCGACCAGATAGGCGTGGCAGTGTCATAATGCCACAGATTCCTCAAGATACAGTGCCAAAGCGACAGACGACATTTAGGTGGTTCAAGGGTCAGCTCATCGGCAAAGGTACTTACGGCCGAGTGTACCTCGGTATGAATGCCACTACAGGAGAGTTCTTGGCTGTGAAAGAGGTCGAGGTGAACCCCAAGGCGGCTGGTGGTGACAAGAGCAAGATGAAGGAGCTTGTTGCGGCTCTAGATCAGGAAATCGACACAATGCAGCACTTGGACCATATCAACATTGTGCAATACTTGGGATGCGAGCGAAAGGAAACTAGTATCAGCATCTTTCTCGAGTATATTTCTGGTGGCAGCATTGGATCATGTCTGCGCAAGCATGGCAAGTTTGAGGAGTCTGTCGTGTCTTCACTGACAAGACAAACACTCTCCGGCCTCGCCTATCTACATCGTGAGGGCATTCTGCATCGCGATCTCAAGGCCGACAATATTCTTCTTGATTTAGACGGAACGTGCAAGATCAGTGATTTCGGCATCTCCAAGAAGACAGACAACATTTATGGCAATGATAAAACAAACAACATGCAAGGTTCGGTATTCTGGATGGCCCCAGAGGTCATTCGGTCCCAAGGCGAAGGCTACAGCGCCAAGGTCGACATCTGGAGTCTGGGTTGTGTAGTCCTGGAGATGTTTGCTGGCAAGCGCCCCTGGGCCAAGGAAGAGGCTGTTGGTGCCATCTACAAGATTGCTAATGGCGAGCGACCACCGATCCCCGAGGACATCCAGGATACTCTTGGGCCACTAGCCGTTGCCTTTATGATGGATTGCTTCCAAGTGTAAGTTTATCGATATGACAGTGTTGTTCGCGAGGCTAACAAGAAGACAGAAACCCCTTCGACCGTCCTACAGCGGATGTGCTCCTGTCGCAGCACCCGTTCTGTGAACTGGATCCAAACTACAACTTTTATGACACAGTGCTGTATCACAAAATCAAGTCGTTCAAATAAACTAGGTATAGATACACGATCTTGAACGAGGTGGTTAATTATCCTTCCCTTCTTTTTTTCTTGCATGTATCAGTGGCATGGGACTTATACGCTTGTGAAGTTCGAGAGCGACGGCGTCATTATGGGAACACGGCTTGATAGCTGATTGGCATTGTTTATGTATGGAGGGGACGCAAATGGTAATGAAATGAACGGCTTGATGGCTGATGATATCCGATACTGTGAATTATGTATCAAGTGACTCAAAAGAGATTGTCCAAGCTACCTATACTTAGGTAGTTACTAACATAGAGTCAAGGTGTTTCTACCTCTCATAGTATATGTTTAATATGGGCTTATTAGACAGTTACTGGGCCTCTGTCCCATCATATGCTTGTCGGTCGTCACTACTCCAAAGTCAACATGTATTAAGCCTTGTAAAAACAGAAGTTTATCTCTGGACGAACGTCACCAAGATCGCACACTGTTATAAAAGTCCACATCTCCGTTCAGTACTACTACTACAAGGTCATTCATCTCAATACACTCGAGTTTTATCCAGCAAACGCGGCTTCTCTCAAGCTTATCAATACTTTGATATATTCTACAGTACTGTTCATGGCGGACCCTGCCACCGAAAGCGCTGCTCTAGCACTATGCAGCTTATACGAAGATCGAGACAACAAGGAAAATGTTGAGCCTTCATTACCGACTTCTAGTCCTTCTCCGGCGTTGCCAACCCCTCCATCGTCGGATAATCGGCTTCATGTCACGGACAGTCCACCTCCATCACAACCAAAGCTACCACAGTGTCTGGAACCTCCAATTCCGCCGCCGCAATGTCACCTCCCTGTCCGTTTTGACCTAGACCATCCCTCTTTGACTCCAGGGGCGAACTGTACCCATTCTCAGCTCTTGCTTTCACATCAAGAAAGGAACTCACACCCCGGCCGCCCTGTATTACACCTCAGGGGCTTGTTCAGCAACAATAAGCTTCTCCCACCATCTGGCCCTGATCCGAATCGACATTGGCAGCTATCGTATCATGAGGACGGCACTCGGAGAGAAGGTATGGCGGCATTCAGCTTACTCCTTGCCCACCTTCCTAGCATAAACAACTACAAGGGGGGGATGCTGGAAATGAGGGCTCTCCTCGAGGAAAAGATGTTTGAGCTCTGCCATCTCATGGAGCATAAAGAACACAAATATGGTGGGCTTGAGCTCTACACTCTCATAGAGCATAAAAGGGGGGACCTTCCTAGAGAGCTCGTCGAGAAGATGATGATGCTTTATTTGGAGTCCGGCTTCAGGTTAGCCGGAGAAGGAGACCAGCAGAGGTCCATCCTCGAGCAGGAACGGGCGAAGATGGAAGTTGTTTTGAGTTGGATATTGGCCCTCATTCGGCAATGGAATAATGATGTATCGAAAATCCCTTTTGAAGATGCAGCAGAGCAAAATCCTCATCATCACCAGCAACATCAGGGGGCAAAAGTCTAGATTGTGGCGGAAGTCTGATGCACACATATACTTTCGGTTAACCGTTTCTTGTGAATCTTGGTGTTGACCACTCAATTTCATTGCCCTCGCTACAATATTTGGTGTATTCCAAATATAAGTTAATAGCAAGATATCAGTCCTCGACAGGCACCATGACAAGTAAATTGACTTACTTGGCTCACTTGGCTCACTCGAACTTTTGGTCTCTAGCCCATCATTCTTTACCGTCGGTCTCCCTTGTCTTTCCAGCCCGTCCTTTGCCGGGGGCAACATCAAACTTCAACTTCCAAATATCCTCCTGTTTGAACATTGTAATGCACTCAGCCGCACTTGGCTGTCCGTATTCAGGATCCGCGCCACCATCTAGCAGCTCCTTGATTTCGTTGTTAGTATTACGTTTCAGCTCTCCATCTAAATATATATTCTAATCTGGAACATCTTCAGAGAATGACTCACTTGGATTACTGCATCTTCCTTCTTAAACACCGCCCCAGCGAGAGGACTCTGCCCTCGGTCATTGAGGCGATTAGGGTCCGCGCCATGTTGAATGAGAACCTTTACAAGATCGGCATGGCCATGATACGCAGCGAGCATAAGCTTCGATTATCAGTACAGACTTCTTGAAGAGGTGATGGTCGAGATATGCTTGAGTGTCATGATCATACCAGAGTATCGCCCTTGTCATTTGTCAGATTTGGAGGTAAGCCTGCTGGAAGAGCCTGCTCAAACGTAGCCACGTCTCCCTTCCTCGCTGCATCGTACATCCTGCTTGCGAATTCAATCATCTCCGATGTGAGAGATCCCGCGCGGGCTGGTTGGTTTGAAATGTCGCTCATGATGGTGCCCTAATTGCGGCCTCAATACGGTTATGTGATTTTCGGGTGGCAAGGCTGATTAATGAGTGCAAAATGTTTAATTTTTGAGTAAGTCACAAAGAAACGGTCGATTATGGGTGCTTGTGATGTTGTCGCGATGATGGAAGAGAAGCCCCGAGTTATCGAGTGAGGTTGAATGAAATGACGTATGCTAGCTTAGTAGGTATGTAGCTTTATTCTAATGGATGGCGTAAATGCCGGTAAGACAGTTTGATGGGACAGTTACGGAGGCGTACTTCAAAAGTACATGACAAGGCTGTTTTCCTAAAACAATAATATTGCGCAAAACTATTTGCTAAGCTGCCTTTCTTGGAAGATCTTATTTCCAGTTGCTCTCGTGTCATTCTTGGTGATATCAATACACATACTCAATCTGCATCACGCCCAATGGTGGGTGGTCTCTGACCTCAAAACTCATATGCCCAGGTTCCCAGGCTCAACGACTCGTAAGAAAAAGAACAGGAAGAAAAAGTGTCATCACCGGTGGTGAGCCTCGTATTTTGCTCGTATACTAACAACGGGGAAATAATGGAATCGCGATGCATTCTCGTACAGTTGTGTTCACAAGGGGATAGATAGATAGTTGTTCAAAAACGCCATATGTAGAGCATCGATTCGTTTCATGCTAACCATTTCTGATCAGTCGAAAAATAGTGAGTATCATCAGAGAACCTACCGTAAGGTACTCGTTTATCTCAAATGTTCGTTTCACACTGCATTTAGTGCAGAAAGTCTGTAATACCGTCGCCTTCGCCATTGTCTGGCTCATTTGGAATCGGCGGGTCAGGTTTTGGCGTCTCTGGACGATGCGCAATGGCAACGATCGGGCTCATGATGACTTTGATGTGTTCTCCCTTCTTCTGATGATATTATGTTCGGGTCTTTGGGATCAGTTCGACCGAGAAGATGACAGCTCTTTAGCCTCAAATATTAAAGAGGGAAATGGGTGGGATATATAAAAGCAAAAAGTCAACTAACAGCGCGGGGGGCACGTTACGTTACGTCAGGGTTTTGTGAGCTATCTAAATCATTGGAGGAGCTGAGCCAAGACAAAAAACGTGTGGTTTACATTCCATCCAATACATTCCGACTCAACAATTGCCGCGTGGGTTAATAAGGGGTTGCAGTCGGGTATGACGAGCACTGTAGTGAGTGATCATGCGATTCTTCGAGGCCCAATCTCAGGTTTCTTTGGATATCCTCAAAAGGGCCGTTAAGTACCAGGACCATGGATATCATTTAGACAACATTTTATAGTTGACAGAGAATGCGGGGGGTTGGAGATTGTTCTTCAGATCTTTGGTAACATGTCCTTGCTTTTTCCGCGGATCTGGATAATTAATCGTTGGTAAAGGTCCCTGATGAGCATAGGGTAAATGAATTGTTACAAGTTATCTGTCATGATGCACTGCATTCATTGCACATTGAACCTGGTCTCGATACTTGCATGACATGACATGATATGATATGATATGATATCAAGCATGTGATTCGAGCCTCACGACATGCAATAAAATTGACTGGACCCTGAACCTCTCTTGGTCATCGCTGACTGATGCCAGCAATTATAGAGACATCTTTTGTCTCTGGAAAAACACCATTTCTTCATTCAAAGGAACCACCTAGACCAAGCAAAAATGCTCGTCGCTCAACTTTCCCCATGTACAGTATGTAGCCCCCATCACGATGTGGAAGTCTGACAGGGACAGGGAGCAAGGGTCGAGGAAACCCAATTGGTTGTGACATCCTTGGAGCAGTTGGCAAAAAAGACAGACAGACAGACAGACACAAATAATTGACAGTTGACGAGTGTGTCTGTTGTCGAAAATTGAGCGAGATTGGCATCTTGTACGTTTCGGGTTCTCCATGATAGCACCAGCCCGTGAACGACACATTCTTGGAGATCCTCAACACCACGCTTAGATTACCCGAAAACAAAGCGATGGAAGAAAACCAGCCAGAATGGAATTGCTGCCAAGTTGCCCATTGTTACGATCTCCATTCCCCTGATATTTTTGTACTTCTGATGCTGTGTGGCTGAACTAACAGTCGGATCCGGCGGGAGAGGGAGGGTACTTCGGCTTGTGATCCTACGAACGAGATGAGGGGTAGCTCTCTACTCAAAGCGGTTCAACACCAGTACCTCATGGCAAATGTTGGTTCTCAATTGATCGTCATCGAAATCTCAAGCTTCTTGGATTTGGCCGAGCTTTCCACTGATGGGTACTGTAAGACTCGAATCCTTTGCGGATCGCTTTCTAGCGGGGAGACGTAATATCAGATCAGGGCAAAGCGGGTGTCGTGCATGCATGAGACGGACTAGACTGTCTAGATTGGCATCAACTTCTGAGCTGTACGGACGGTGCATGCGGTCACGTCGGATAAAATGGAGGATACAGACAGAGAGAGGTCAAAGTCAAAACCCAAAGGTCCACCATGAGTTTGCTTGCATCCATCCATCCATCCTTGAAGGGCGTGTGTGCATGGAGAGGAGACGAGACGGGAGCAGGAAGCGCTTGTGAGACAAGTAAGTGGATATATCTTCCCCAGAACGCCCAGGGCCAAGAGAGGCCCTTGCTGATCAGCTCGAATATCGAGGTTTTGGAGAAATGATTGACCATCATCGTTGATGAGTCCAACAACAAACAAGTCATGAGAGACAAAAGGGTTCGTGTATGACCTCAGAAGTTGGGGACTCACTGACCCAAGGTATGTATGCATCTCGGACAGGTCACAGGTCCGCCCTTTGCGTTCGACAGCGTAACCCTACAGTACTGTACAGTACAGTACAGCACAGGAGAAATTTCCTTTCCAGTAAAACAATACGCAGGAATTATCATAACTCATAAAGCATGCCACAAACTGACTCTTGACAATCCCCAATCTTTGGATGGGAACCCAATCGGCCGGTAGACGGCCAATTTGCGTTGCATTTCAGGCCACCAAACACGTCGGGTGAGCTGCTACCGACCCGATATGAGATGCCATCATGAGAAAAATTTGAAAGAAGGACATTCTCGTAAAATTGAGGCTAGGGTAAAAGTATCATGATATCAGTCCTTGAGGAGCTCTAACATCAGATGTTAGTTGGATCAGCCACAGACGATACATGGCGGATGGATACAGGTACTTGACTTTAGCCTGTGGTTCGTGTGAATGCTCAAGTACAGACTGACTAAGCTCGTGTACCTCCGGCACCCGCACCCGTCTAAACCGTAAGCGGGTCTCCACCAGCGGCCGGGTCCTCCCACTGATTGATTCTTCCTCTCCCGACATCATCCTCCTCCTCATCATGGATAACTAGCCATGATCCATTCATTAATTGTTACACCCCTGTCAACTCTCTTCTCCTCCCCCTGGGGCCCCAATCAAAGCTCCCCATTCTCCAGCTTCGTCCCCTGCCCGTCAGATGTCAAGCATGTCCTGCGTGGCCATCTGTAACCTGGAAAATCAAGTAGCTTACCTATTGATTGTGCTACTGATAGTCAGAAAACGACTGTCGATGTGAAATAAGGCCCGACTAGCTAACATGCCACATTCTGAGCCTTTCTGGGCGCTGTCAGTTTCAACCTGCTTGCTTGCTAGCTAGCTGAGCCTGCTCTCAATTTATCCCCGCGTATCAACGGTCACGAAACGATTCTATACTGCCTATACAGTGCTGCCATGCTCGTCGGCTCCACCAAGCCCATCAGCACTTTGAGCAATTTGACTCTGCGATTGACTTTGGTAGTGATTACGATTACAATCCTCAGCGCCTCTCACAGCACGAGTTCGGTAACACAAGGGGAATATAGCTACAGCGGGAGGTGGCGCTAGCAATGCCCTTCCCGTTTCGGTGGCTGCAAAAAAACATATCGAGATACAAAGATACATCAGACCACTTTTTGCAACGACCGTCAACATCCATCGTCACCATCCGAAGCTCCAGAACGTGTCAAAGCTATCCACCTTTGACTCGCTCTTGGCTGATATCTGCCAACAAGAAACAAGAGCTAATATGCTAGCCAACCTTACTTGGGTACCTATACCGATCTCCCCTTCTGTGCCCCCGGCGGAGGATGAGATATCGACGTCCTCCAGGCAGACCACTTCGCTACCCATCCCATCCCATTCCACTGTCTGTCCTGTCCTGCCCGGTCCGTCTTCCTTGCTCTCTTCCGCTCCTTATGCCTCTTCTGAATAGGCAGGGTAGCTTAGGCAATTGGGAACGTCCCCCACGCACGCCACTATCTTGCCCAACGCTCATCTCATTACCCATCTTGTGTCTGAACTTTGAGCCGCCCAGCAACCTCCTACGGTACTACGTGCCATCCAATCCGTGACAGTGGTAATCTACACCCACGCCCTTGCCCTCGCCCTCAGCCGTGCACAAAACCTATCCCATCTCCCTCGTACTCCAATTGGATCACCATCCTGCTGTAACCTCTGCTGATCTCGTCAACGGCCGTCTACCCATACGTAGTAGCTCCATGGGCCATGGGTTTACGTTACCCTACCCAATCTGCGGCGAAGACTTCAAACTAAGCCTGGTATAGTATGTACATACATGTCGTAGCATGTAGCATGTAGCAGGTAGGAATAGCATAGCCTTTCGTTTCCCTTCGGCGTTCTCTCACCGCACTCCCCGTTATCCTCTATACCTACCTCTCTTCTCCTCTTTCCTTGGCAACCCTTTCGGCTTTCTCATATAAGAAGTCTTGGAAGCTCTGCATATAGAGTTCTCTCTTTTGTTCTTTCTTCTCATCTCTCATCCCAAGAGTTCAACCTCACTTACAACTCTTACAACCTCATCACTCATATACATATATCCTAATTACCCTACCCCAATGACTGAGGAAGTCAAATCTATCTCGCCCTTTGGCATTGCCCGCTCAACTGTCAAGGGCGAGCCTCTCTCCAAGGAGGAGATCCAGCAGTACAATGACTTCTTCAAGGCCAGCTGCTACCTCTCCTTAGGTATGATCTACCTCAAGGAGAACCCTCTTCTTCGAGAACCCCTCAAGGCCGATCATCTCAAGCTTCGATTGCTTGGTCACTTTGGCTCTGCCCCCGGCCAAATCTTCACATACATGCACTTTAACCGTCTGATCAAGAAGCACGATCTCGATGCTCTCTTCATCTCTGGTCCCGGACACGGTGCCCCCGCTGTCCTGTCTCAGTCTTATCTGGAGGGTGTCTACACCGAAGTGTATCCTGACAAGACTCAGGATGCTGAGGGTATGCAAAAGTTCTTCAAGAGCTTTTCCTTCCCCGGTGGAATTGGCTCTCATGCTACTCCGGAAACCCCAGGATCTCTCCATGAGGGTGGTGAGCTGGGTTACTCCATCTCACATGCTTTTGGTGTTGTCTTCGATAATCCTGACTTGATTGCTCTTACTATGGTTGGTGATGGTGAGGCTGAGACTGGTCCCCTGGCTACCGCCTGGCACAGCAACAAGTTCCTCAACCCAATCGTTGACGGTGCTGTCCTCCCTGTTCTTCATCTCAACGGTTACAAGATCAACAACCCTACAGTCCTTGCTCGAATCTCACACCGAGAACTTGAATGTCTCTTTATCGGTTATGGCTGGCAGCCATACTTTGTTGAGGGTGACGATGTTGAGACCATGCACCAAGCTATGGCTGCTACTCTAGAGCACTGCGTGGATGAGATTCGAAAGATCCAGAAGGAGGCCCGTGATTCCGGCGAGGCCAAGCGACCTCTGTGGCCCATGATCGTTCTCCGAAGTCCCAAGGGCTGGACTGCCCCTCGCAAGGTTGACGACAACTATCTGGAGGGTTACTGGCGAGCTCACCAGGTCCCCATCGCAGACCCCGCCACAAACCCTGCTCACCTCAAGGTCCTTGAGGATTGGATGCGAAGCTACGAGCCTGACCGTCTATTCGACGAGTCTGGCGCGCCTATTGCTTCTCTCCGTGCTCTTGTGCCTGAAGGTAACCGACGAATGAGCGCCAACCCCGTCGCCAACGGCGGTGCGCTTAGGAAGCCGTTGAGGATGCCCAACTTCAAAGACTATGCCATCAAGGTTGACAGCCCCGGAAATGTCATGAACGCCAGCATGACCAACATGGCTGTCTTCCTCAAGGATGTCATTGCTGAGAACCAGACAAACTTCCGTCTCTTTGGCCCTGATGAGACTGAGTCTAACAAGCTTGGCGGTGTCTACGCTGCCGGGAAGAAGGTCTGGATGGGCGAGTACTTTGAGGAGGATGCCAACGGTGGTAACCTTGCCAAGGCCGGCCGTGTCGTTGAGATGCTTTCTGAGCATAACTGTGAAGGTTGGCTTGAGGGTTACCTCCTTAGTGGTCGTCACGGTCTTCTCAACAGTTACGAGCCTTTCATTCACGTTATTGACTCTATGGTCAACCAGGTATGTAACACGCTCTGTCCCAAGGTTACTCTTACTGACTATCCCTATAGCACTGCAAGTGGATCGAGAAGTGTCTCGAGGTTGAGTGGCGAGCCAAGGTTGCCTCCCTCAACATTCTCTTGACTGCAGTTGTCTGGCGTCAAGACCACAACGGTTTCACTCACCAAGATCCCGGTTTCCTCGACGTTGTCGCCAACAAGAGCCCCGAAGTTGTCCGCATCTACCTACCTCCTGATGGCAACTGCCTGCTTTCTGGTATGTTCAACTCGCGATCTTAGTCTGAATTTGACTAACTTGTCACAGTCATGGACCACTGTCTCCGATCAGTCAACTACGTTAACGTTGTTGTCTCTGATAAGCAGGAGCATCTTCAGTACCTCTCCATGGACGCTGCCATTGAGCATTGTACCAAGGGTATCGGTATCTGGCCTCAGTTCTCCACCGATGCTGGACAGGACCCCGACCTGGTCATGGCCTCTTGCGGTGATATCAGCACTCACGAGTCTTTGGCTGCCATTGATCTACTGCTTGAGCACTTCCCTGAGCTCAAGATTCGATGCGTCAACGTTGTCGATCTCTTTAAGCTGATCCACCCCAGCGACCACCCCCACGGTCTTCCCGACACTGAGTGGACCAGCCTCTTCACTGATGACACTCCTGTCATCTTCAACTTCCACAGTTACCCCTGGATGGTGCACCGCCTGACATACAAGCGTCCCGGTAGCCGCAACCTCCACGTTCGCGGTTACAAGGAGAAGGGCAACATCGATACACCCCTCGAGCTTGCTATTCGCAACCAGACTGATCGTTTCAGTTTGGCTATCGATGCTATTGACCGCATGCCTCAACTGCACAACCGGGGCGCCTCGGCCCGCCAGGCTCTCCTCAATGCACAGATCCAGGCCCGCAACGAGGCTTTCGAGACAGGCATGGACCCTCCCTTCCTTAAGAACTGGACCTGGAAGCGCAATGGCCTTTGGAAGAAGGTTGCCGACGGCCTTGTCTCTCGATAGATGGATATAAAAACACTTTACAGGTCAAGGAGAAACGGATGCGGCCCATCGCTGGATATCCCTTCACGGCACCAAAGACTTCTAGACGGAAACGAATAGATGAAATAAATTCAACAAAAATAAGACGGTGGGCGTTGCTGGACGGACGGTTGTCATGTTAACAAGATGTTATGGCTTTCCTATTTCTTCTCATCTCTTTACGAATTTCCATAGTTATGCAATACGAATCGTTCAAAATAGTTCCCATGAAACACTCAATTCTGAACTGCTTCTCTCTTCATGTGATACTGCGTCATGCCCAGCTCAGGGAACTCACTTGTCCCAACGACCCTGAATCCGAACTTCTCATACAGGCCCCTTCCTTCGCCAGAGCTATTCAAATAAGACATCCAACCTTCTTGGTCGGCTCTCTCAACACCAAATCTCATGAGCGCAGATCCTACGCCCCGTCGCTGAGCCTCTTTTGCTGTGGCGATCGTGCTTAGGAACCAATGCTTCTCACCAGCGACGTGTTTGAAAGTCTCATCAGCATTCCTCTGAAAGAAATCCGCCGCGGTCGCCTGGTCCCCTGAAGCAGGAAACGTAGAAGGGTCGATCTGCTTCCCCGACAATGGTGGGTTTTCTCTACGAACCCAGCGCGCCCAGCCGAGGATTTGAGAATCGTCCTCTGCGACAAGCATGAAATTGTCGTCCTTGTCGTCGATGTTGGTTCGGAGAAATGAAGTTTGGAAGGCTTGGGCATCAGGAGATGACGGGGAGAAGCAACGCTGGTTTAAAGGCGAGGAAGAGAATGCCGAGAAGAAGACGGCGAGCATTTGGAGGATATCTTCGGGCGTTGCTGGGCGGATTGTTATGGGTGACATGATTGCGGTCGGTGAAAGGTTGAAGTTGTGATTTGGGTAAGATGAAGAGAACGTCGGTATAAGTTCTTTGACCAATAGGGTGACTCACGCCGATAAAGCAAAAACATCTTTGCCTCTGTTGAAATATCAGCTGGTCAGCCGCAAGCACTCATACAGAGGTCACTTCTGATACTGTCACCAACACAACAGAAAATAGGCCAGCACGAGAGTGTAAGTTGGGAAAATGACTAGCCTTTATCTATCACCACTACAAGTATTGGCCAACTCAATCATAGCGTGTGATTCGCCAGACAACCAACTGATGGCGACTATGTTCTCCGACTAGGCCAGTTTCCTGACTAGTTCAAACGGTCTCGTAGTATTCCCATGATTAATTCCGACTTCCTGAACGCCCCGTTGCCGAACCAACCCATCGCCGTGCTACATCGCTTTAGCCAAGATGACTGCTATTACAGCTACAGAGCCTTGACTGACTGAAAGAAAGGGTTTGCCTGCAGCTCAGCATTTGCCCCAACGAGCTCTTTCAAAGCAGCGACTTGCTCTTCGCGGCTCATATCCCCTGCCTTGACCTTATCCTTCCACTCCACCAAGACTCGCTTGAGCATGGCGCTCCCCGTCTCAACGTCTTGCTTGCTGTACTGCAGTGCTAAATCCTCATGCTTGGTGGTAAAGTCCTCGAGCTCATCTGCCTTGCGTTTGGCCATACGGACAACCTTGTCCGGGAAGCGAACCAGCTCGGCGACGTGGATGCCGAAACTCTGGTCGCACACACCTGGTGCTACCTTGTACAGCAACGTCACTTCGCGCTTCGCATCCGCATCCGCATCCGCATCCAAAGCCGCTGCTGAGCTAGTGCCGCCGATGTGCGCCGTGACATGGAGGTTCTGTACTTGCGGATACTGGTCGGCGAGAGCTGTGAGTTCGTGGAAGTGAGTGGCAAACATGGCAGAGCAGCCGATCTCCTTCACAATGTGCTCTGAGATAGCCCATGCAAGACCGAATCCGTCATATGTCGATGTGCCACGTCCAAGTTCGTCAATAATGATCAAGGACTCTGCCGTAGCTGACTTGAGGATATTGGCAGTTTCAAGCATCTCGGCCATGAAGGTCGAGACACCCTTGAGTTGCGAATCGCTAGCACCTACGCGTGCCAATATGGAGTCATAAATGGTCAACTCGGCCTCTGCACAAGGTACGAAACACCCAACCTGTGCCATAAGTGCAATGACACCCGTTTGTCGGATATAGGTTGACTTACCGCCCATATTGGGGCCGGTAATGATGAGGAAAGAAGACTTGTCGCGACTAAGCTCAATGTCGTTCGTGATGAACTGAACATCGTCCTGAAGTTCCATACAAGGATGACGGGCTTCGCGAAGTATCGTCTGGCCCTCGCCACGAGCGTGGATCTTGGGCCGGACATACGACTCAGGGGCATGGACTGAGGCGTGGGAAAAGGAAACGATTACGTCAAGGTGGGCAAGAACACCAGCTAGGCGCTCTAGAACTGGGCAGTAGGAGGAAGCAACTTGGACAACTTCGTGGACAAGACTGCTTTGTGTTCTGTTGTAGTTCTGGGACAGCTGATCATACTCGCGACGATAAGCCTGCAGCTTTTTGGTCGTGAAATAAACACCGTTCTTTTGTGTCGAGCACTCTTGATACTTGGAGTTGTTTCGAATGCAGCCAGCCTCTTGTCGTGTGAGACGCATGCAAACTCCGTGTACCTTGTGGCTGGTCTCAAGGAAGATCTTCTTGTCGGGATCTTGGCCTAGGTCTTTAGCCGAAGCCGTGAACTCGGCACGAATATCCTTGTCAAGCTGGTCAAGTTTCTTTCGGATGATGCGCAAGCTTTTATCAAAATCGGCTTTAATGATGTACTCATGTCGATCAAGAGCGTCGAGATCAACGGTTTGCTCCACCATATCCTGCAACTTGCCCAAGCTATCAGATAGGTCACGAAGCTTGATAGTGTATGCCTCGTCGAGGGGGTCTTTATAATTCTCATCCATGACACCTTCAAATGTGCCAATAAAGCCAGGTAGACGGATGACAACCTGGTATGCGCGGACGACGTCCTCCAGGTTAGCCTTGCCACGCTGGAAGCGCTTTGAAAGTCTGTAGAGGTCAGGAATGGATCGAAGGTGTTCCTCCTGGAGTGTCTGTCGGAGTTCAGTATCAACATAGAAAGCTTCTACCAACTGCTGACGCTTCTCAATCTCCGCCTTGCTCATCAAAGGCTGCTTCAACCACTGTGCCAAGAGTCGACTACCAACTGGTGTCTTGCAGTGGTTGAGTACACCAAAAATGCTCATTGTTTTGGATCCATCTCGAGGACCTGGCATGAGGTTAAGGGCCTTTAGAGCAGCAGCATCTAGCTTCATGAAATGTGCCAGGTCGTGTTGATATAGCTGATACTGGCCAAAGTTGGAAGGATCCTGCAGAACACCAAGGTATTTGATCAGAGATGCAGCAGATCCCATGGCAAGCTTAAGATCAGTCTGTGGTAGAAGAGATGCCGATCGCTCATCCTTGAGCAGACGTGCCAGGTCTTGTTCAATATCCCTGGTACCAAAGTCGCCAGCTGGTCTCTCTGCGATAGCCACACCGCAGTTATCAATAATCTTCTTCAGCTTGGACAGTTCGGGGTCCTTCTCCTTTTCACCCTTGTCGATCTGGATCAAGCACTCACGGACACCGAGCTGGATAAGGAGTGCTTCAAAGTTGGAGTAGAGGTCGTTGTCGAGAAATTCGCTTACACCAAGCTCGCGGACGCTGGCATCGGCGAAGCAAACACCAACATTTCGAGCTTCGGATGCCTTTGTGGAGATTTTGACGGCGAGAATCATAGGGGCCGACTCAATCTGGCCTCCAAGGTCATCCTCAACATCTTGTAAGTTGCCTGGCGAAGCCTGCTTGACACACTGCCAGTTCATGCGACCAGAAGGGCTTTGCCAGATCTCTATTCGCTTTCCCAATTTGAGCAGGGCTTCTCGAAGGAATTGTCGGAATACAGTCATGGTCATGGTGACCGAGGGTAGTCCGGAGTTGTCATTTCGGCCGAGTTGTCGGACAACTGAAGTTGTCTTGTAGACCTGTAAAATAGTGTTAGCGGTGCTCAGACCTTGATTACAGAAGAGACATACAGTTTTGGCGATATATGTGGCATCTCGACCATGTGAAGTATACCAATCTCCTCGGTCAAAGATACGGATTGTGTCTTGGTTAACGGCTGGCAATGATTTGTAGAAACGAATGAAGCCGCCCTCGTCATCGAGCTGGTGATATAAAATTAGTTGGGTGTATTCTGAGGTAGTTCATTTTCTGGAGGTACCTTTAGTTCTGGTCGTGAAGCCATAATAAGTTGATTGTCTTGTGAACTCCGGATACAAAGTCAATCAACGTAAGGGTCTCGTCGTAGTAAAAGTGCCTGAGAGACGTTGTACTTGTCGCGTCACTAGCTCCCGCACTGGCCGGGAAACGCGTTTTTGTGGGGTTCTCAATTAAAGTGGTGACGCGAAGCCTGCATAAATTGGGTGTTGCATAATGTCTACATAAATACGCACATGCATGCATGCACAACAACTCATTCAGGCTGAGTGATTCATGATTGGCCAGTTGACACAAAAGCACACGGCACCAGCCCGTGATTCAACCTCTATCCCTTAGAATTCGAGGGTACCTCTATGGTATCTTTCGGGGACTAGCCAATCAGGTATATGGTATCAAAGATACTTCCTTTAACATAGAGATTATACCTAGATTTAGGTATCTACAATACTGCAACCTGTAGATCGCTACCTTTAGCCTCACTATTCTTCCACCTTAAGGCTGGTATCTGTGGCGTATCGATCGGCAGCCAATCAATACTGGGTCAAGCCCCATAAATATACTGCAGAGGTCCCTTCTCGGATTCTAAGGGATTGGAAAGGCAGAGGCGCCTACACTTCCGTTTCTTCACATATCAAATCATCAAAAGTCACAGTGTATCTCGCTATTGACATCCCACGATTCTTATCATCAAATAGTCCCCTTTCAAGATCAGCGTCAATGATTTAACAGCAGCTAGCTGAGGGACCCTTGACATGGCTAAGCTGAAGAGCTGCCACCATGCCAGAAGAAGTCAGCCTCATCTCAAGAAAGGCACGGCGGACTCGAATGTCTCGAGACCAGGAATTATAATCCGAGACATATCTTGAGACTATCGATCTTCACATCGTGATAACCAATCAGAGGTGCGCTATCAAAAGTTCAGTCGCCAGGATAACTTTCAGTCAGCCACGCCCACAACTCTACTAGGATATTGTCGAGATCTCATTTGACTAGCGTCAGCCGGCCCGTGTCATTGCTTTGAGACTTCTTATCACGAATATGGGGCAAGGGTGTGAATCTTGGGCCGTGGGGGCTTGGGAATCACTGCCTATGGAACCGTACGTGATTATTTCTCGTTTTGTGGCGAGCGACTATTGAGAAGAACTACTTGTGACGTGATGTGCGCTGGCGAATCACTAGTTCTTGCATGAGGATTCACTTCCAAGGCATGAGTTGAGTGAAAACAATGAGATTGTATTCGCAGTGCTCGTATTGGGCCAAGCACACAGGCACACGATGCTTCTTCTCCGTATAGAAGCTGGAAAATAGAGTCATTTTTAACCTTGTTTTTAACTTCTGCCAAGTGGGTATTTTTCGTTTTCTTTTACAGCAAAGAGCCGCAACCTAAATCTGCAAGTGGAAGCTAATTTTTTACAGGTGAATACGATGGAAACTCCGCTGTAAAAACCATTGGCATTGTCCTTGGTCAACAAGAGCAAGTTGTGCTTGAATATTCCGTGGCTTGGCGACAAGGATTGAACGCTCGACATTGACCATCCGGGTTCTCACTAGGGGCCCAAAATGGTAATTTACCGATTCATAGTGGTCACAGACAGACACAGACCACAGACACCTCAAGGCCATCAAGGTCCTCAAGGTTCTCTCAGCCAAATCCACTATTTCCTCTATCATGGCTGCGGTTATTGGCTTCTCGATGGCGGCTGGAGGAGACGACTCTTCTCTGAGTAAGAGGCTGAGACATTAACTTTTGCTCTCCCTCTCTGTTCTGTGCGCTTTTATTAAGGGCTCACATTGATACATATTAACTTTCTTCACTGCTACCCAGTATCTCCAAAGTCTTCCTCCTCAAACAACCCTTTTGGACAGTTTCAAGTTCCACCTCCTAACTCGAAACACACTCTCTCTTCCCGGTTCTTCGGCTTCAAGAGACGCAAGCTAGCGATTTAAGCATAAATTTCGACGCAGTCTCTCGGCTCTCCTGTGCCGTAGTCAGCACTCAACAGTCGATCTCGTGCCGTTACCCGTCCGTCTCGCGCCTACTGGCTGATCTCAAGATGCACACCTCCGCTTTGTCACTCGCTGGATGGGGCCTTGTCTTCTCTGCGGCCTCTGCTGCTGCCAGCAATGTCCATATCGCCCCTAGAGCTACCCAGGCTCCCTCGACCACCGCAGCCAACCCTGAGGTAACTGCCATTACAGGTTGCCACCTGCATGCCTCTGAACTGTTAGCAAGTACCTCTCACAGGTCGATGCGGTTGACTGACACCCCTTCAGATATTGTTTCGCTGGTGAGACCGAGTACTTGGTAGATGTCAAGGTCACTGCAACCACAGACGTCCCTTCGCAGTACACCGACTGCCATTCCCATGGCTCTGATATGTAAGCTACTAATTGTGCCCCGCCATTGGCTCCTAGGTACTAACTCTTGTGACCTAGGTTCTGTGTAGACTCTGACGGTGCAGATGTTTCTGTTCAAGCTGAAGGTGCTGAGTCAGAAGAGGACCACGCCAAGGAAGATGAAGATCACGACCACGACCACGATCATGAGGAAGCAAGTGGCACCGGATCTGCAGCCGCAGCTGGAAACACCAAAGAAGCTGAGAACGAGCACTGCCATTTCCATGCTGGTGTTGAGTAAGTCGCTTCCTTCACTTCCACGTGTACATCATCAACACTCGCTAATGCATCTATGTAGACACTGCACAGGTCATAGCGATTCTGAATCCAGCGAGTCCGAGTCTGGTTCTTCCTCTTCTGCATGCCAGCCTCGGAGGAGAGACTATGACGTTGGTCTCCGTGTTGGTCTGCTCTTCGTTATCCTAGCCACAGGTGCTCTGGGTGTCTTTGGCCCCATCCTGCTGCACAAGATGATGCCCAGCAAACTCAACATTGTCCTCATTGTATTAAAGCAATTTGGAACTGGTATTATAATCTCTACCGCCTTTGTTCACGTATGTGAGATCATCTACCTTAACGAACGATTGCTAACTAATATCTCTAGCTGTACACCCACGCATTTCTCATGTTCGGTAACCAGTGTATTGGAGAGCTGGGCTATGAAGCTACGACATCCGCTCTTGTCATGGCTGGCATCTTCCTTTCTTTCCTTGTTGAGTACATCGGCAACCGCATCGTTCTCGCAAAGACAAGGGCTTCAGCCAATCTCTCTGATGCTGAAAGGAAGGGTGCCTGGTTGTCTACTGAGGTTGTCAGTGTTCTGGTTATGGAGATGGGTATCCTCTTCCACTCTCTTCGTAAGTGTTCCCTCTATCATCCAATGTGTAGTTGGCTAACGTCACTGCTAGTGATCGGCTTAACGCTCGTTGTAGCAGGTGATGAATACTTCCTAACCTTATTCGTCGTCATTCTTTTCCATCAGATGTTTGAAGGTATCGCTCTTGGGAGCCGAATCGCCACCATCGGTACTTCGAACGATAGTCACGCCCCACCCGTGGCTCGCATCTCCCAGGACACTTCCTCCGCTCAAGATTCAGACAAGGCGCCTGCTTCCACTGAGACGATCCCAAACGAGGAATCGACCCCTGTTGGTTTGACCATGAAGAAGAAGCTAGGCCTTGCCTCTCTTTTCGCCTTCATTACTCCTATCGGTATGGCCATTGGTATTGGTGTCTTACAACAATTCAATGGTAACGACAAGTCTACTCTTATCGCAATCGGTACCCTCGACGCTGTCTCCGCAGGTATCCTCATGTGGGTTGGACTTGTAGAGATGTGGGCTGCAGATTGGATGTCAGGGGGTCATGGCCACAAGGCTGAGCTCGCTGACGCCAACCTACTCACAACCATTCTTGCCGGCACTGGTCTGGTTGCCGGCCTGGTGGTGATGAGTCTTTTGGGTAAGTGGGCATAGAATTGGGGTTATTGGGAATGCTTTCTAAATATTGATCTTGCCTTCACGATAATACGATTGGCTAAGGAGTTTGGTGCCTGTATTTACGGAGTTCGTGTCAGGAGCATATGCAGTTGGGTTTGCCCTTTTGACAAAACTGGGGGCAACAACTGCTTGGATCTATACTACATACAAACGGCGTCGCTAGGATAGAGCAAATCGAAACGAGGTAAATGATGATGGTATGCATCACTGCGTGCCCATGTTTGTGACCAATGAGACGATTCATATCAGCCCAAGCCAAGTGCCAGATCCTCACAAGGTAGCAGGCTTCCGTTACCGGTTAATTTTTTAGGATCCCCTTTCCAAGGCTCGGGGCCTGGTACTTGGGTGCTCTGTACTTCAATGTCGAGTTGCGTGTACCGTTGTACGGCAGCACCTGGATACTGCTGGCCGTAGGGCTGTTCATGACATCCCAGTGATCGGAGATGCTTGGATTGCCGTAAGGCCGAAGAGCTGCAAAACGCATTCTTCACAACTGTCAGAGCTTCCTATTGGTAGAATGAGAAGGTACTCACGTGTAGTTTCCGGGGGCTATTCTTGAACCGTTGGCGAGCTTGCCGAACCACCAAAAGACGTGAAATCCTCGTGATTGTCGTTTAAGCGGGAATGGCAATGTGTCATTCGGATCATTGACAGTAGGGTCGAAGAACCAGAATTCCTCCGCATCTCGCATTGTTGTTGCTGAACCAATAAACCCATGTCTTCCGACCCGTGGAGGATAAGTCCATAAAGATTCTGACCAACCTTGTTCGAAGATCTGCTATCCATTAGATATCATGATCAATGGGAATCTACGGATAACTTACGTCCCACCTAAGATTGTCGCAGGCGTATGATGTCCTACCGCCAATTTCAATAAAGTCACTCGCATCTCTATCGATATTAAAAGACCATCTTCCCCGTCGTCAGCAAAATGTGTACACGGGTTGAGTCACTTACGCTGAATCTTTATCAGGATCCGTGACAAATGGATCAACAATGAACATATTGTCAAATGCTTTCTCGGTGTCATATGCAGCTCCTGCCAAGGCCTCTGTAAGCTAGGCGTGTGAATTCTTTACAAAGAGCTAACAAACCTCCGTATGGGATAGCCAATTTCTCCCCATGATCGGAATTGATCAATACCTTGCCACTGTATAGCGGCAGGTAATCATCGTCAACGTCAGGAAGCCCAAAAGTAACACTAATCACTGTAAGAGACCAAAATTTTGTCATCAACTCAGACCTACCTCAGTTCTCTTGTCTCTCCGGGTTCAATAAGGACCCTGTGTGGGAGCCTCACAGGGGGGACAATGTTTTTGGGCTCAATAGCATAGAGTAGAGCCACTCCATATTCGGGATCGTAAATGTTGAAACCAGCTTGAGGCTCAAGTTTGAAAGAGTATTCGTGTGCTCTGCCGCCGGTATTGGTGATGTTGAAACTCCATCGTGGCCGGAACAGCTCTGTGTCCATCAAAGAAAAAGGCTCATACTCGAGTTGAGTGTCATAGTTGAGAACTTTCCAGGCGTCAACCAGTCCAGTACCGACCTGGAAAGGCGATGCTCTGTACTTGCGCATTAGACGATTATTGACAAACGGTAGGGTCGTTCCACTTGATGCGATGCGATCTCTGAGCATTTTGGCAAAGCCTGCACCATTGAAAGCACGACCACCGTACTGACCCACGAACAAAGCCGCAATGCCTGCAATGTAGGGGGCCGACATGGATGTCCCACTCAGCTCCTCGTAGCTCTGGTTCAGTACAGTGCTCATGATCATGTATCCAGGGGCGGTAATGTCGGGTTTAAGAAGCAACTCGTTGGTCGGGCCCCATGTCGTGAAGTAGACGGGAAGTGGCCCAAGGTCCTCGCCAGTTCTGCTAGCATTTGGCTTCGTAGTAACATTAGCAGCGGCGACAGCTAGAACTCCTCTGCCGACAGCTCCGCTACTGGAGTAGAACGGTCCAAACTCTCCTTCGTTACCAGCTGATGCTATCACGACGACGCCCTTGTCTACCAGTCGGCTGGCTAACATAGCCCAGGGGTTATCTGACCAGCCATTGGGTTGGCCAATGCTCGAGGTGATAACATCAGCCTTTAAATTCCCTGTCAGCAGTAACACATACTTGTGCATAATAGTACTTACTCCCGCATTATAAGCATCACACAGTGCTTGCATAATGGTCTCTTCGTCGGTCTCCCAAGGATCCTGGCGATTATTAGCGGCAGAACTCGCGAAATAGTTCTTATTGGTCTCAAACACTTACATCAGAGAATACCTTGTATATGAGAAGTTCGGCCTCGGGCGCAACTCCAGTAAGCCTGAGGTCCATGTCATTAGAACTCTATCGTATTTGCCTCCAACAGAACTGACCATTCATTCTTAGCAGCAATGATACCTGCGACGTGAGTTCCATGACCTTGGTAGTCCATGGGATCATTATCGGGTTGCTTGGGGTGCATTCTCTCATTGTGAGTCTCCCCTGAATGAAATGTAAGCCCTTGGTCATGGAAACAAGTCCAGCAAACCTACAGTCTGCTCCAACAAGATCATAACCCCCTTTGACTTTGCATCCAGGTCCAAAACAGCCTCCGAGCTTTACAAAATTAGTACGAAATAGAACCTCCTTCGCAATGAACATACCGCTTTATGAGTATAGTCAATGCCGGTGTCAATTATAGCGACAGTTGAACCCTTTCCACGAATACCGGCAGCATGGAGTTTGTCAACGCCCGTCCAGTGATGAATAGAATAGTTCCTTATAGATGAAGATGGGCCGCTCTCTGAGAACTCGACTTTTGGCATGGCCACTTTGTGGGCCTGCCACACGTTCACAACCCCTTCCATCTGGAGCAATGTATCCATATTATCTGTGTCAGTTTCAACCACCATCCCACTGAAAACATCACTGCAATCAAAGCTCTGGAACAAAGGCCTTTTTCGATCGGGTTTCATGAGAAGTTGACGTGTCACTGCGGTCGTGCCTTGATTCTGCAAGTGTGAGTGATGAGTTCAAGGACAGGACTGGTTTCTTTACCGGCTCGACTTCAACAATGAACTTTCGGGTGTTTCCAGCACTCGCTCGACCAATTCTGGAGGAACTAACAGCCGGTTTATTGACTGCCTTGACATCAACGGCCACTGATGCCGCAACCAGCAAGACTTTCAACAGATTGTATGACTTCATGATGGCGGGGTGGTTTGAACGAATGATAGGGGATGAAGAATCGCTGGTAGAAAAGAGCACTAAGGCCAGGAGAACATATATATCACTCGTTATACTTCCATAGCATTGGTGCTTCTTCGGAATATTAGCATGGTCGGCAAGGTCTCGGGAGGATGCATTGTTAACGTTGCAGTCCTCACTTGGACCACGGAAAGGGGCAACAAGTGCGAATTTTCCAGTTGCCGTTGCGGGATTCAACGTTGAATGTTTTGGTATCACAGAAAGGGTAATCTTTCCCTGCCTCTTCATGTAGCGAATGTCCTTAGCCAAAGACTGCAGGGTTAGCCAAGACATCGTTCAGGAGGTTGAATTGATGTACGGCTAAGCACATCAACCCGAGTCGTGGGTCGGCTGTACTGGCTTCTACTTGGAGAGCACCGTAGCATCCCCTGATATTTGAGAATGTAGCAAGCCTAATGCTGAGAGTGCCCCAATTGATAATTGGGCGTGACGTGAGGTTCTTGTGCTGTCTAACGGCTGAGTTTGATATATATGAGTTATCCGGAAATTGCCACTGCCGGATTGTTTTGATGTAACGCAAACGACCTTTTGGGGTTCTATATCACTGTGATAGGCCGGCTGCAACACATATTCTCGAACAAGAGCGTTGTGATCCCGAAGCTGTGGGACCTATCTCAAGATCTAGCGAGAGATCCGGCAATGACAAGGAAGCACATCAGGACATAGTTCTGTTCCATTTTCGGGACGTGGATAAGGGTTCTTGTGTCGAGAGGATGATGCATCCATCGACAGACGTGCAAAGGGCAATCAAAGGAGAGTGAGCAGTGCTATAACGGAAAGTTGTGCTGTTTCTTGTGTAATGTCGTGCCTCGACGAAATGATAATGAGTGTATTCGACGAGGAACCAAAGCAAAGTGCCCAAGGAAACTTGTCCAAAATCACGAGTGTAGGAGATGCGGTTCAAGGTGACAGCTCACGTGAAAGATGCCATGATGCAATGCAGTGCGAGGAAGTTGCACTTTCAGTTTGACAGGCTGACAGGTAAGGCAGTCGCGATCCACCACACCACCGCATGCAAGCCACAGTTATATTCTGATTGCTTGTCCTCCTTACAACCAACTCATTGCTTCTCATGCGGCAGATTCGATTTGTTTGATAACCGCTTGTAGCATTTTGATCTCTTCCATATGATTCTTTGGCTGGGCAAAAGGCTGCGTCTTGATACAAAATACATCGATATCTGTCTACCTACTAATCTAGCGATTTTCTACTGTAGGTTCCGAATTCTAGCTTACCTTATAATAAACCCCAATTTCTTGAAACACATCCAGGAGCCAAGGTTCTCTATTAATCGACAAATGCACTAACAAGCAATAGATCACCAAAGTTTCTACTCATTAACCAAAATGAGCTTCGCTCTCGTTGTTTCTATCAACTCTGACTGGCCAGAGCTTGAGCCGGTTCCGAGTCCGTGCCTGACGATCTCTCAGCCGGTCTACATACTTACCTGACTCGTTGTGATAATCCCAAGCCAAGCCACATGGTCAAAGTAGTCAATATTCGCACGTTTTTGGCTTGAAACGGCGAAGAGAAACTTTTATTCCCATCCAAATCCATCAGTCTGGAAGCCATGAGCTGCGCCACTTTGTTCATGGTGGTAAAAACTCTGTCAATGAACAGCGAGCAACAGGCTAAAACTGCCAGTGAGCCGGGCAAGACGACGAGAAAGGAGATCGCGTAATCGAGATGGATGAACCGATTGTTTCTACTACTGGTAAGCGGCGCTGCAAAAAAAACGTGCAGCTCGTGCAGAGAAACCATACCCGATACAGCATGTCCAATGAGCCAACCATGCTCGCTCACCGGAGACCAACAGGGGGGGCTGGTTCACTTCGCCGCTATGGAGAGGGCGAGGATGGGCTGCAGGAGATGTTGATTCTCTTGGAATATTGTGAGCAACAATTGATCATTTCTTGGGGAAATCTATATCATATGAAAATCACATAACCCTCATCTTAATCTCGGCTGATCGACGAGCTGAAAGACATGTTCTGCGGATGACATTTTCTGAGTCGGATCGTCCCACGGTTGCAACCTAGGATCAACATTTAGAATAGAGTGTGGATACTGACTCGCAGAAACCATGTGGTTTGACGGTTTCCATGCCTCATGCCCATTTCCATTTGACTTCCTTTCTCGCGTGGAAGCCCCAGATACTGCGTTTCCTTGTCAGGAACCAATGGAACCTCGTTCGTGTTCGGCATAAAACGAAACCATCGTCTGCAAACTACTTCTCCTCTTTCTGAACTGGGGATTGCATGCACCTAGACACCCCCTGCGTCAAAAATGTCAACCCGCCAACGACACAATCAATGCTGGTGTGCTATTTAGCGCCTCGGCCAGCGCTGGGAACAGACTTGGTCTTCTGAGGTCCGAGCTAGATGGAATAGCTACGTTATTAGCTTTTGGTCTAATTAACAAAGAGTGTGGGCTTCTTTCTTCACGGGCTGAGCTGAGGACAAAGAACAAACCAAACGCCTTTTGACGGGCCGTCAACGGGAGGATAGGGGAGAGCTTTGACAAGTTGGTGTGCAAGATTATCATGGCTTCAGGCCAAGCCAAGAGGTCACAGTGACTGATGGTTGCAGTGATTTCCACCTCATGCTCCAGCCTCTTCAAGGCTCTATCCTCTCTCTTTTGTTTCTAAAGTCAAGAGCCACGAGGCAAGCTTTCGCCAACCTCCTTAAGGCTCAATCAAGTAAGGACAGAGAATCACTCAATGACCATCAACGTTACCTTTCAGGGGGCCTCAACGCTCAAGCATCTGCAGGTTGCTCCCCAAAGCTTTTCGGTCGCATGGCACCCTTGACACATCCATCCACTTTCACGCGACCAGTTCCAATTAGCATCCCCTGTCTAGACTAAACCCACTTTCCGGGCCTCCCCTGTTGAGTGCATCCTCTTTGGGTTCTCGCCAGGTCAGCGAATGAGAGCATACTCTTCAGCTCAAGATGCCACTGTCGTCTGTCTTCAGTGGAGAGAGTCAGGCGTCTTACGCGCTACAGACTCCACTAACTCTCTAAAGTTACCTAGGTGCCTGCGGGCTGCTGCCCCCGGTGTGCTCCCCTAGACAACTACCTAACACTAACTCCCTAGGGGCCCATGCATGCATTTTCAGCACCTCAACCTTGAGTCTTATCTTCCATCCAATCCTCCCCCCTCGTTCTTGTCCCTCTTCCCTGTACCTGTCGCAATCGTAATCCTTCTTCTACCCCCAGTCTCCCGCTCTCGTTCACATCCACTCATTCATTTTTGACTCCGATCTCTTTCGTGGACAAGGAAACATAACTCCAGGCGATTTGCTTCCTCTTGCTCACGCTATTAATGTCCCCTACTCTCTTTTAATACTGTCCAACCAGCCTCGATATCACCGAAACAACCGAGCAACCTGCATCTGTACTTCACCTGCTGGTAACCATATCTTGCAAACACCAATACCCAGTCAAGACGAACAATTGCCTCCCCCTTTATGATTAGGGTCAATTCAAGGACAACACAAGACACACAATCCCCCGAGACGAAACATTTTCACTCGGTACAAATCAAAAGCGTACGGCATTGATTGCAGTACGAATACCTGGAAACTTAATCTCCACATACTCGACTCCTCCATTACGAAGCCAGCCTCCCTCGCCGCGCTCAAATCTCACCGAGAGATCCGAACTGATCGCCCTTACATATACACGGGCTCAATCTCACCTCTTCTGAACTCATCACCTAAAAGTTCATACACCCACCGCAAAAATGGGCAAGTCTCTCATGGACAAGATCCAGGCCAAGCTGGAGCTCTTCCGTCTCGAGCAACGCTACACCCGCCGCCGTCACCGACGTTCCACCTTCGTCTCCAACGCTGTCTACGTTGACGGAGAGTACGTCTACCAGACTCCCAACAGCACTGGCTCTTCCTCCGGTTCCTCAAACATCGATGCCCTTCACGGGGACAAGGCCGGTGTTGGCTCTATGCCCGCACCCTCGAGCGTGGTCATTGATGAGCACCACTTCCCTTCTGAGGTTCAGCACCAGCAACAACCACCCATGGCTACTGCTGAGCGCAAGCGTCTGAACCGCTTCAGCTCCATTCCTCACTTTGGAGGCTCAAGCAACAAGCAGATGCCCAGCATTCAAGAGCGACGGAGCAGCATGATCCGATGAGTTAATTCTCGGACAGTCAAACCAACACAAAAAAGACAAAATAATAAAAAAAATCATGCGATGGTCCTTTTTTTATGATTGACGGCATTGGCGCCAAGCGATGGTTACAGCTTAGGCGCAGGCGTAGCAGGCGCATAGCTACAACGTGTAAGCAACGGACACGATGAGATGAGCTGAGATGAGATGGGGTCGGATCGGCTTGGATTGGATTACATGAGACGGGAGACCATCTGATGAATGAATCGGACTTGACGGATACCCCCAATTCATTCAAGGTTTTCCCTACGACGAAACTCACCCAGTTTTGTTGGTACACGTTACAACATCAGATCACATCACTCACTACCTACCTACCTACCTCACCTTTTGTTTTGGTTGGGTTTTGTGTACCCAGCCATGGGCCCTTGTTTAACGACTTGTTACTTTGGTTACTTTTCCGTCCCACATGCTTTCTCTCCCCCCTTTCACTCTGGACCCTTTGGAGAGGCTTCATTTTGGACATCTGGGGGGGGGGCCTACGGACTGCAGAGCTTTGCAAGGCTGGACGTGGCATCGGTCATCACCGACTTTTTTACCTAATTTTCCTTCTCTGGCGTTGATTTATACTTTTTTGCTGTTGTTGTTGCTTCTACATCTTACTACTCAGCTTCCCACAGGAACAGCTTGGGGTTGTTGCATCACCATTTCTAGAGCTGACAGGCAACTGTCAGGCGTTGCAATCTGTACATAACACAACAAAAGGTATTGCAGGCGAGTTTTGTGGGAGGATACGGGCTTATGGACTTTAA